CTTATAGACTATAGATCTATGTATTGTGTCCCATAATAACTCTTAGTCTTTACTTCCATTTTGAATTTATATTTCACCTGTAGGGGATTTCTATCCTACTTATAACATTTTATAAATAAATATCAATGAATGTGATTGAACTAGAATTTCAATAACTGGATAATTTCTTAAGGCAGGGGAAATGGTCCTCAACAGGGACTTAAGAATGTTGAAAGATTTTAGTTTACCAATATGATACAAACTCAATAGACTCGTTAATACACTGTCAAACACTTGCCAGGACATGGGAGACATGCTGTCATGTTTTGCCATTATTGCACATTAGAAATGTCAACTACAGTAATGAGCTAAGATCCTAATGCCAAAGTAGTATGGTCAGTAGCATACACCAGCCTTTGATCCACTGCTAATTTCTCCAATGAGACTGTAAACTGGAAAACAGAAGCAGAATTTCTTCTCGTTAGTGACCAAATCTTTGGCAGCTGGTACCTTGCAAACAAACATTTTGGAAGAGAATAATAAATAACCCTGACTACAACCTAAATTTAAAAGTCAATGCTTTACTTATCTTAACATTCTTTTATGCATAAATTTATAGCTCTGGGTTGTGGTTGTTTTCCCAATGGCCTGGATGCAACTGAAAAACTTCCTTTCCAAATTAGAGTATTTTTAATAGATTCCAATTTTACTTTCTTTGTTAGTATGGCATAAAAATGTAATTTGTTTTGCCCTGCAAACATCTCCCAGGCCATTTCTGAATAAATATTTAACCAGTGACCAGCCAGAAAATGAAAATTTTCTGAGCAAATACTCAATTATGTGTTTCTGAATTAGGTGATATTTCAGAAACAAAACTGACTACAACTGTAAAAGGTGTTCCCATTTAAAAAATATAAACATGAAATGTTCATGTAGCTTCTCACTGGCAGACCTATTTTGAATCCACTGGGATTCTTAGACAAAAATAAAAAGCTAACATCTTTCAACTTAAAGTGAAACTTGTGATCCATAACAAACCATAAAAATCAAGTAAAGTGTATTGACTTATATCTGGTTTGTTGGTTCATTCCTAATACTTCTACCTATGTTGAATATCATGAGATATGTATGTATATGCTAGTACAGATCTGTTTATCTATCTATGGGGGGAGAGAGAGAGAGAAAGAGAGAGAGAGAGAGCATACTGGAGATATAACACATTACTTCAAACAGCCTGATAATGCCACAAATAATCCAGAAATCACAACAGGAAAGGGAATATTTTAGATGGGTTTTATAATGGACTTGATTCAAATAATACAATTATTATAGGCAATATTTTAAGTGTGCTAATTTTGTAGAATCAGCAATTTTGACATTTATTTGTTTGTTTATATTTGCAGTTCTGGAGATTAAGCCCAGGCCTTTGTGAAGGTAGACATTTTTTCTTTATTTATTGTGAAAATACTAGACATTTATTCTTAAGATGCCATTTGCCATTACTAAAGTCAAGAAAACTTAATTAAACAGCAGAGTGAGGGCTGTATCCCACATTTCCCACTTTGGTCTAGAGTTAGCACTCAGCTATGCTACCTTTTAAATAATGAATATGGATGATCTTGTAGCAGTTTTGTTTTCTTGCTTGCCAATTTTCAAATTCCATAGAAAACTCAAATTAAGGGCAGTAAATCCTGCATCTCTCACATAAAATTGGTTGGCAGTATATAAACTTTAAAAGAACTAATGATGTACTTTCAAATTACTATGAAGCAACATTTAAAATTATTGAACACTTAAAAATATTGAACATTTTGTTGTGAACCTTTTGAGTGAATCCTTTCATTATCACAACTATCTACTTTGATGAAATAAAAACTTTTTTGTGTATGCTAATTGTGAAGGCTTGAACTCAGGACCTGAGCACTATCCTTTAGGTTTTTTGCTCACCGCTGGGTGCTCTACCACTTAGCCATACTTTCACTTCCAGCGTTTTGGTGATTAGTTAGCTATAAGAGTCTCAGGGGACTTTCCTGCCTGGACTTGTTTCAAATCCCCAGATCTCAGCCTTTTAAATAGCTAGGATTACAGGCATGAGACAGTGGAGCAGGGTTTAGACACCATAATTCTCTATTACACAGATAAAGAGGCTGAAGCCTGTTAAATTAAGAATTTACTCATGCTCTCTCATCGATAAATAAAGGCATGGGGGCTTGAACCCACACAAGAGTCCATCTCTTGCCCTTAATCACTAAGCCAAGAAAAACATGTCTCTAGCTGAGAAATCTACTGATCCTGGTACTTTAAAAGAAAAGGCTTATTTGTAAATTATGACTCGAAATATGGATTATCATTTCTTCAAGGGTGCTGCCTCACAGATCAAGACAAATCAATGCCATAAATGCCTCACTGGGTGTATGTTGAACCACATGGCCTCTGCTAAGAAGCTGTAGATGCTGATAGGAGCTAGATCAGGTTAGTTAAGGACTAACGCCGTGGCAGAGGACACCAGACCAGGGCACCACCTGGGCCAGGAGAAAGCAGACCAGAAGAAAGCCGGAACGGTTGTTGTAGGGACCTTGCTTCCCGTGAGGAGGGCCGCAGTGAGGGCGGACTGGACATGACGCAAGAGGGCGGAGGCAGGGGCCGGAAGGACTGAGAGCCTCGAGCTGGTGAGTTCCACGGCTTTTCTGGGCCCTTCGAATTCCCGCTTTTTTCACGAGGATTCTTTCCTTCACATCTCCTCCGGGTGCCCCAGGTCCTTCCATAGTTTTCCCCGGCAAATTCTCTCGCCTCCCACCCCCAGCCCAGCATTTCATTTCAGTTGGGCCTGGGAGGACCCCAGATGCTGTGGGGGACGCTGGGCCTCCCCCCCCCCAGAGGGTGAATTCGTGGGGGCAGCGAGGAGGGGAGAAGAGGAGAAGACCCAGACCGACCTCCGGGAGCAGCACCAGCAGCCCAACAGGTTGGGTTCGGGTTCATCAAGCAACTGGCATCAGGCCATAGAAGGACCTGGAACCTTCACTTGCCTGCGCACGTGGGATCAAGCAGAGCTTCGAGTCTCATAAATCAGTCCGCTGCTCACTGAAGAATTTAACAAGCGTTGAGTCTGCAGTTTGTCACCTGCTTGGCCAGCAAAGACGATATAGGTGTATATTTATATCCAGATATGTCTACACATATATCGCCACTGAATATTCTAGACATAGGAAATTGGAGGAAGGGACAATTAAGTTACCTAGAGATGATTTGGCTTCTAGGGTAGGGAGAGAATGCAATAAATAGCGTGTGGTATAATTTTTGTTTGTTTGTGGCAGTGCTGGAGAATGGAACCCAAGGCCTCTGGCGTTTTAGGCAAGTAGTCTACCTTTGAGTGCCACCCCTAACGTTTAGTAATTGCTTTCTAAGAGAAAATACCCTGAATCTTATTAAGAAATATTGAGTTTGGAGAAATCAAGCTTGAATTAAAATTCAAGGGCCTTGTTCTGACACAAAACTCTGGTAAACCTGTTTTCAAAAAACATTAGAGACTAAAAGAGGTGGGGACTGGAGGGAGTTTTGCATTAGCTGTTGTAGATCATTATACAATTCCGTTAAAGAATAATTGTAATATCAAATAGTGATTCTTAATTTTGCTTACCAGTGAATTTTGCTGTATTTTCAAGGAAGATTATTATGATTATTTTTCTACCATTGGATCAAGCTTTATTGAAGAAAATTTATTTACAGTTTTAGTCATGTGTACAGAAGGTAATAATTCAATAAATTGAAAATGCACAGCTAAAATTTCTATTTCAAAACTATTGAATTGCTGAAAAATAAGAAGGAAATAAAAATTCTTGATTAACATATTATCAAGTGTTGTATGTCTTGATGTACTTCTTTCCAACCAGTAATATGTCCCTTCAAAGTTATTTTTAATTATTACTTTGTGAATTTTCCTTATTCTTTTCTTTGAACTTGTGTTCTTTTTTTTCAGCCTAGAACACTTGAGTTTCAAATTTATATTTTCCCATTCTTTTTGCTGGGGGAGGGGGACTCTAAAAACTAATGTCCATGCTTTCATATTGTAATAATTTTGATCTCTTCAAGACACCTTGTATATTCTGTTAGGCAAGAGTCATTCTCTCTATCCTCACAGGATGAGTTTACCTATGGAATTGTAAAGAATTTCTTATGATTGGTTCTATAGGAACAAATTTACAAGTCTTGCTCTTCAATAGTTAACTGGCTAGTCCCAATAATTACTCTTACCCAAAAAAATGCAAGGGAATAAATAAAGGAAGACTGGTGAGGGGCGTTTTTGTGTGTATGCCAGTCCTGGAGCCTTAAGTCAGTGTCTAGGTGCTGTCCCTGAGATTTTTTTTTTTTCTCAAGGCCAGTTCTTGACCACTTGAGCCATAGCTTCCCTTCTGGGGTTTTTGGTGGTCAATTGGAAATAAATGTCTCATGGACTTTCCTGCCCTGTCTGGTTTTCAAAGCATCATCCTCAGATCTCTGCCTCCTGAGTCTCTAGGCTCACATGTGAACTACCAGCACCCGGTAGGAAGATTGTTTCAACCACACTCATTTCCATATAATCAATTTACCACACAGATTACCAACCAAATGAAACGTAATCACACTAATAAAAAATGTTTGTTCTTTAACACTTGAATGTGGTTAGAATCATAAATCGAAAATGCTTAACACTTAAAAGTCAAGAGTCAAATTTAATAATATAGCAGCCATGCTAATGGCTAAGGGGTTATGTTAGTGACATTATTGTTTCTTAAAGAAGAAACATAGACAAATAATTTCTATAGACTCATCTATCATTGCACTAATTTTAGATTTGTTAACTAAAACATTATTATGGCAAGGGTTAGAGAAGACCTACGCATTTGACAGTTGTTAATACTGAGTGTAACAACAATTCTGAGTAAAACAGAGCTCAATTGGGTTCTATGAGTACAGGAACTTCATTATGATTGCTACTGTGATGTTTTAGATCTTATTTAATACTATCCTTCCTTGTTTCAGACATGAGTAAAAGCAGTGAAGGATATATGAAAAAAATTGGGACTGTGAATCTTGACAAACTTATAAATGATTTCTCACACATAGAGAAGGTATGTAATGGTAGCAAAGGATTTTAGTATATAAATTTTATTGTATTTTGCATTTAGGAAAATCTATATAAAACATATCTTGTCTGACTCACTTGTATTGATGAGTGTAGTGCCAAAATTAAAGGGAAACTACTTATCTAAATGCCTAAGATGTCCATAAATTCAGAAGTAGTTTTTGTTGTTATTTTGTTGTCGGTTGTGGGGCTTGAACTCAGGTTGTGGGTGCTGTCCCTGAGCTGTTTTGCTGGAAGCTAGTGCTCTACAATTTTGAGCCACAGCTCTACTTCTGTTTTTGAGTGAGTAATTGGAGATAAAAGTCTCTTGGACTTTCCTGCCTGGGTTGGCTTTGAGCAATGATTCTCAGATCTCAGCCTCTTGAGTAGCTAGGATTACAGGAGTGAGCCACTGGTACTAGGCTCAGAAGTAGTTTTTTTGTTTGTTTGTTTTTTGGGTTTGGTTTTTTTCTGGGTTGTTTCTTTTGTTTTTGTTTTTTTGCCAGCCTTGAGGCTTGAACTCTGGCCTTGAGTGATGCCCCTGAGCTTGTTTGTGCTCCAGGTTAGCACCCTACCACTCTAGCCATGGCACCATTTCCAGCTTTTTCAGTGATCAGTTGGAGATAAGAGTCTCACAGCTTTCCTGCCTAGGCTGGCTTCAAACTATGATCTTCAGATCTCAGCCTCCTGAGTAGCTAGGATTGCAGGCATGAGCCACCAGTGTCCAACCAGAAGTAGTTTTAATGAGAAATAGATTCATCTTTAAATTTCCTACTAATCATCACTAATTTTTTTTTTAGTTTTTTCCTATTCTGGTGTTTGTTGGGTTTTTTTGACAGTACTGGAGGTTTGTTTGAATTCAGGGTACTGCACTTTATACTGAGCCATGGTTCCTGTCCTCTTTATCACTGGTTATTTTTAATCAACTGAGCATGAGTCTTACTTTCCAACTAGGCATAGGCCTGAGCTATGGTCTGACTACTTTTAACCTTTGTTTCTGGGATCATAGGCAGATGCCTATGAAGGAGTCTCTCAAAGTTTTTCTGCTTGGACTGGCCTCCTCCCATTTTCAGCCTCCCAAGTGTCTAGGATTACAAATGTGAGCCCCTAGCACCTGGCTGTTTTCTTTCTCCCTTGCTATTCCTTCTTTTCCTCTGTGTACTCATGTATGTACAGACATATACACACACACAAACACACAAACAAATTGCCCATAATTAAAGAGTTTTTATACTGTTTTGAGATATTATGAGCTTCTTTTAAACAATAAACTTGAGTTTTCTTAAGTGATTAGCCTAACAAGAAAGAAGAAAGGGGCTGGGAAGGTGGCTCAGTGGTAGAGCGCTTGCCTTGCATGCCTGAGGCCCTGGGTTCAATTCCTCAGCACCACATAAGCAAAAAAAAAAAAAAAAAGCCAGAAGTGGCACTGTGCTCAACTGGTAGAGCATTAGCCTTGAGCTGAAGAGCTGAGGGACAGCACCCAGGCCCAGAGTTCAGGCCCCACGACCGGACCAAAAAACAAAAAGAAAAAGAAAAAGAAAGAAGAGAAATATGATCCATGAGAAAGGAATTAGTGCAGTGAGCTTAGAGATTTACTTGGAAAGATCTATTGCCAAACTATTCAAATGTTTTTTCTTTCTTGGAATTGTTTCTAACATATTTATAAGATTATTTCTTTGTTACTTCGTATGTCCCTCCCCCACAGTATAACCCCTGTTTTCACTGTATTTGATGTTGGTATAATTTGTGGAGGGTAAGGGAAAAAACAAATCGTTTAAATAGGGATATGGATGTACATGAGATGCAACAATGCAATAAGATGTACAATACGTTATGTCCATAAACTAACTTTACGACTTCGGCGCGAGGAGCTGGAGGGAGGGGGGACCAGGGAAGGGGAGGGGAGAGGGGATGGGATGGGAAGGGGAAACAAAGGAGGAGGCAACAATGCTTGATAAGAAATGTACTCATGGGCCTGGAAAGGTGGCTCAGTGGTAGAGTGCTTGCCTTGCATGTATGAGGCCCTGGGTTCAATTCCTCAGCCCCACATAAGCAGAAAAAGCTGAAAGTAGCACTGTGGCTCAAGTGGAAGTGGTAGAGCTCTAGCCTTGAGCTGAAGAGCTGAGAGACAGTGCCCAGGACCAGAGTTCCAGAGTTCAGGCCCCACAACCAACCAAGAAAAAAATAAATAAATAAATAAATAAATAGTAAAATACTCATTACCTTTCCCATGTAATTATAACCCCTCTGTACGGTATTTTCACAATTAAAAAAGAAAGAAAAAAGAAAAAAAAGATCTATTGTATTCTTAAATTTTTTAAGTAAGAAAAAATTGGTCATTTTTATGTAGTAATTGTATTATGATCATACTTAAGAACAGTTTTATCCTTTGATATTACTATATATATATATATATATATGTAGTTATACAGATAATAGCAGGATGTCAGTTGAGATAAATCAGCAGTAGTGAGATTAGAAGTGTGTGTGTGTGTGTGTGTGTGTGTGTGTGTGTGTGTGTGTGTATCATGACTGGTCATGGATACTGACTTTTAATTATTTAAAGAGTGTTCGGATGCTTATTCTGTTTATAAGGATACCAAAGGGACATGTTAAAAATATTCACCATCAGTAGAAAAACAAGTAGACACAACACATTCTCCTCAATAGGTAGATCTACACAAGTTTATATGATACCTTTTTTCAGATAATAGTGCTAAATGAAACAGCCTAAGTGTAGACAATAAATATGGTCATTTTCTATAGTTATACAGTCATAAAATAGTTTGAAAGCATATATAAAGAATTATTCTTGTTTGTTTTGTAGTTTGTTTGAACTTGTTAGGATTTTTTAAATGTTTTTGTTTATTTTGAGACAAAGTCTCAATATGTTGTCTGGGGATAGAAATCCTCTTGTATCAGCCTTCTTAGTGACTGTGTCTACAAATGTCTATACTACTTATAGCTAAGAATTGTTAACCATGAGGCTGAGAGTTGAGTAGCTGGAAAGCAAGGACTCAAGTTAGAGCACATTTTAGTTACCCAGTTTTAATATTTTACCATGGGGGAGGTAGGGTGCTGAGTGGAGGAGGTGTGGTACTGGGCAGGGGATGGATCTCCAGGCCTCTTGAATGCTAAGCAAGTACCTTGCTACTGAGCTACATATATTCCAAGTCCTATCATGTTACTTTTAAAATTAAATATAAATTTGGAAGTTAGTTTATTTAAAATTATATTCCAGATTTAATTTTAGACTGAGATATTCTCACTGGTTTTCATATACTTAGTAAAAGAATCAAAATAGCTGCATTTTTTTGATAATCATATATATATATATATATTCTTTTTTCTACAGAAAATGCTAGAAACAAGTGGAAAGAATAATTTACTGGGTATTCAACTGGAAAAGTCTAATAGTTTATTAAAAATAATGCAAGCAAAAGAAGCCTCGACTAAAAAAGGTTAGTTGAGTTCTGCGTGAAAATGTACTAATTCATGAGGGCACAACAGTGAATAATACTATACAACTCATTTGTATGACGAATTTAAATCCATGTAGAACTTCTCAGATAATCCTCTTGAACTTAGTCTTGAACTCTAAAAGATTATTAAAACTTGTGTATTAACCTTCTTTACCAATAGAGAAACATAGAATGAAAGCAGATAAATAATCTAAATCTCCTCATCTAAGAAATGGCAAATTGAAGGATCACTATAGACCTATAAAAACCACAGGGAAAAGTTGAATTCCTACCTCATGATTAAAGCAAAATAAATATGAGATGGGCCAAAAATTTTAGTATTTAAAAACAAACTAAAAAATATCATTTCATGCTATATCAACTAAGGCCTAGAAGCAAAATAATCTAATAGCAATGAGAACATGTAGTGCCCAGATGTTGTTTTCCCCTCGCATTCCTACTCTCAAGTTACATAGTTCATTTTGTTACATAAGATGCATTGAATATAATGACCAGATTTTGGTTTTAATATCATTCTCTAATAAAAAGAACTGGCTGGCTGATTCTCAGATTCCATAAATAATGGAAACCTAAATAGCCTTTTTTAGTGCCAAAAAGTAAGGAAGTGTTCAAAGAGATAATAAACCCCTAATGATGGAAGCCAACTGAAGGAATTAAGCTGGAACAATTTGAGCAGCAGAATAAATAAAATAGTATTTATGTATATCCCAAGTATGAAATGAACTTCCGTAAGTCCTTTTATATGTATAATGATATAAAGTGATGAAAATGACACTTTGGTGCTGCAGTCCTTCTCCTTAGTCTAGTCACGAGATAAATACCTCACAAACCACCAAAGAAGGATATTGCAAAATTAGTGAGCAGTACTTAGGAAAACTGTCAAGGATACAAAACTGTCATAACCTAGAGTAGCCCAAGAAGACATGACAAATAGGTGAAATGAGGTTTGATGGATAGAATTTTAGAACAGAAAAGGAGTACTGGGTAAAAATGGAGGAAAACTGAATGAAGTATGAATTTTAGTTTGCAATAGAGTATTGACATTGATTTGTTAATTGTAAGAAAGCTAAAATACTGATATAAAGTGTTAATAATAGAATTAAACAATTCTAGTAAATAGACTTGCCTGTATTTAATTGAAGTAACTCTCTGTGATATTCCCAATATTCCTGTATATCTAAAAATAGTTTTAACTGCCAGAAAAAATGAAACCACAAAAAACTAGAATTAATTTTATTTTGATAAAGGAGTAGTCTTCCTAAGTGATACAACATTAGAAATCATTAAAGAATTTGTTAGTTTGATTTTTTTAACTTAGTAAACTTTTTTTGCCATCCTGGGGCTTGAACTCAGAGCTTTGGTACTGTTCTTGAGCTATTTTGCTCAAGGCTAGCACTGTACTACTTAAGGATCAGCTCCACTTACAGCTTTTCAGTGATTAATTAGAGATAAGAGTCTCATGGACTTTCCTACCCAGGCTAGTTTTGAACCTCCATCCTTAGATCTCAGCCTGCTAAGTAACTAGAATTACAGGAGTAAACCACTAGCACCCAACTTAATAAACATTTGGAAGCAATTTTACATTTACAGGAAAACATGAGTGAAAGAACAGAACTCCCATATATGCTTCCACTCACCTCAATTTCCCTATGATCACAACTTACGTTTTTGTGGCACATTTGTTACAGATTCATTGGGCTACAGTGACACAGTAACAAATGTCCAGTTTACATTAGTGCTTATTTTTTTTAATTTTTATTCATTTTTTTATTGTGAAAATACTGTACAGAGGGGTTACAATTACATGGGCAAGATAATGAGTACATTTCTTATCAAGCATTGTAGCCTCCTCCTTTGTTTCCCCTTCCCAGCCCTTCCCATCCTCTCCCTGCCCCCCCCACCCAACCCTCCTCCCCCCACCCCTAAGATATATATTCAAATGTTTTTTTTCTTTCATGCGATTGTTTCTAACACATTTATAAGATTATTTCTTTGTTGCTGTGTATGTCCCTCCCCCACAGTATAACCCCTGCTTTCACTGTATTTGATGTTGGTATAATTTGTGAAGGGGAAGGGGAAAAACAAGTCGTTTAAATAGGGATACAGGTGGACCCATTGCAACAATGAGATGTACAAGTCGTTAGGTCGAATGTGCTTATTTTTTTTGCTGTACATTCTATAGGTTGTAATGTGTATCTACTATTATAGAATCCTATCGATAATTTCACTGCCCTAAAAAAAAAATCCCTTCATCACCATGAATCCCTGACAATCATGATCTTTTCACGGAGTCTACTACCGTTTTGCATTTTGCAGATGTCATATACCTGGAACCATAAACTATGTAACCTTTTCAGATTGTCTCCTTTCACTTAGCAGTATGCATTGAAGGTTCCTCCGTGTAGATGTATGATTTAATAATAAAACTTTATTTTGGGGGGCTAGGAAGATGGCTCAGTGGTAGAGCACTTGCCTTGCATGCATGAGGCGCTGGGTTTGATTCCTCAGCACCACATAAGCAAAAACAAAAAAAGCCCGAAGTGGTGCTGTGGCTCAAGTGGTAGAGCGCTAGCCTTGAGCTGAAATGCTGAAGGACAGCACCCAGACCCAGAGTTCAGGCCCCATGACCAGACCCCCCCAAAAAAAAACATAAAAAAATAAAAACTTTATTTATTATACTGAAACAAGGACACAGGATAACCAATTGCAGCAATGATACTCACAAGATACTATGTTAGAAATGAACTTTACAACTTCTGGTGTGGGCAAGGCAGAGTGGGGGGAGTGGGGAAGGTGGGGGAGGGAAGGGATAGTAGAATAAAAACAAAGGAGGGGGTAACAATGTTCGATAAGAAATGTACTCATTACCTTACTCATGTAATTAACCCCTCTGTACAGCATCTTTACAATAAAATAAAATTTAAAAATATCTTTATTGTATTATGTACAAGTACCACAATTTATTCACATGTTCAAGGGTACCTTGGTTTCATCCTAATTTTGACTATTAAGAAAAGAGCCATCTATAGACACTTTTCTACTCATCTGCGTAAGTACTACATGAGAGATGAAGTACTGGTATGAGAGATAAAGTAATTGTGTTAGCACTGCAAACTCATTCCTAGAGAAAATCCTTTATTTGACTGTGTTAGTCAGCTTCTGTTACTATAAAAAATACATGAAATAAGTGAACTTAAAAGAGAACTGCCAGGCAGGTGGCTCACACCAGTAATCCTAGTTAAACAGGTCATAGTTTTGTTTGTTTGTTTTTATTGTCAGGGTGATATACAGAGGGGTTACAGTAAGGTAATAAGTACATTTCTTGTCAAACTTGCTACCCTTCCCTCATTTTTCTCCTACTTTCCCTCCCCCCCACCTCCACCTCCAAAGTTGTACAGATCATTTCCAGCATATTGTCTTGTGTATATCTCTGTTGCATTGGCTCCCCCCCCCCCGTCCTTTGTCTCACCATTCTGTTGTTCCCCTTCCCTTCCCTAATTCAAGTGAATGTGTATGCAATAAAAGGGTACCAGAATCAGATACAGTGACAACATGTCATAGTTTAAAGCTAGACCAGGCAGGAAAGTCTTTGAGACTCTTAACTCCAGTTAACTAACCACCAAAAGCTGGAAGTGGAGCTGTGGTTCAGGTGATAAAGCACTGGCCTTGAGTTAAAAAGCTAAGGAACAGCTAACAGGCCCTGAGTTAGAGCCCCAGTACTGGCACAAAAAAAGAAGAGGAGGAGGAAGAGAAAGAGAAGTTGGAAAAGGAAGAGGACCACCAGCTACCACTGTTCTTTGGCTTACAGTTTTTCAATCAGTGACCGGTTGTTCCGTTGCTTTGGGTCTATAGTGGCACATCATGAGATGGGACATGGGGTAGAGGAGGCCTATTTGCATAATAGCTAGGTGTGAACGATAGAAAGAAAAATATAGTTTCACAATTCCCTTTGAAGATATGCCCACAATGACCTAATTACCTCTTGCTAGCTATACTTCCTATAGGCTGAGGACCAAACCTTTGACATACGGGCATTTGGGAAACATTTCAGGTCTATAGTAATGTTTTAATTGCACTTAGTATTTCCAAGTACTCTATAAAACGTATATTAAGGCCCAAATCACTATCATTATAGTCTAAATTGAGTTCAAAATGATCATTGATTTACTAAGTTATATGGCTACATATGCTGTTCTGATTTTTAAGAAGAATTTAATGAGAATATTCTTCAATCTGTATAGTTAAAATCCAAAAGAAAATATAATGTGTTAAGATTTGTAAAGAGAATTAAAAAGCTATATTCTAAATTGTCAAATGTAATCTCTTACGAAGAATTCCTTATAGATCGGTCTCATTATAGAAAAAGAATGTGATGAGAGAGCCACCTTGTGTTCAAAACTGTAAAATACACATTTAAGAATATATAGCTAATATAATTTCAGCTACAGAATTGTTTTCAATTTGCCAGTCACTAAGGTAACATTAGCACTGTATTTAATTAACTGGTGAACTTATTATAGTAGAAGAGACAAAGGCAAATGATAACAAGGAATATTATATCTTTTGATTACTCAGTTTAGCATCTAAGTAATATACGTGAGACAGGTTCTCAGCTAATGTCTATCAAACTTGGAAATAGGAAGATAGAGAAAAGGGAGATGGTAAGAACTTTGTGTAAGTCAATGGTAGACAGAGAGAACAGAAAAGAGGGAAAGGCCACAGAAGTAGAACCTCCTATCTGCATAAAGCTTTTCAACATTTGCAAAAACTTTGGTTTCTGTCAGCTTACTTGAAAGTAGATAGAGGCTGTTGCAAACCAACAGGTAAACAGTTTTGCATTCTTCAGTGACAGTATTTTTGTTTGTTTCTGCCAAAGTACTTTACATAAGCACTGCCTTTTTTTTTTAACTGTAAAGGTGATGTACAGAGGGGTTACAGTTAAATAAGCTAGGTAGTGAGTACATTTCTTTTTGAACAGTATTACTCCCTCCCTCATTTTCTCCTACTTTCCCCCTCCCCAACTTCTCTCTCACAAGTTGTAAAGTTTGTTTCCAACATAGTGTCTAGAATATCATTGTTGAACTGGTTCACTCTTTGTCCCATCATTTTTGTGCTTCCCTTTCCCTTCCCCAAAACAGATAAACTTATGTATAAGACTAAAAGACAAAGGGTATGGAAATCAAAAATAGTGACAACAGGGAATAAACCAAAGCGGGGGGGGGGGGGGGGGGGGGAGGGGGAAGAACTGCAAACAAAAACCTCCTGTTTCCATTTCTTGGAGTTCATTTTGATAAGCATCATTTATATGAACATCTGTCCCTAGCTATTGAGCTATTGTGATCCTCAGATAAGAATATTCTAGACATATTCTATGTTTCACTGGGTCTGGCTTGCTTCACTTAATATACTTTTTTCCAATTGTTTCCATTTCCTTATGAATGGGGCAATGTCATTCTTTCTGATGGAAGCATAGAATTCAATTGTGTATATATAACACATTTTCTTGATCCATTCATCTACTGAGGGGCATCTGGGTTTATTCCATATCTAGCTATGGTAAGTAGTGCTGCAATTAGTATTGATTTTTTTTTTTTTTTTGGTCCGTTGTGGGGCTTGAACGCTGGACCTAGGCACTGTCCCTGAGCTCTTCAGCTCAAGGTGAGTGCTCTGCCACTTGAGCCACAGCACCATTTCCAGTTTTCTGGTGGTTTATTGGAGATAAGAGCTTCATAGACTTTCCTGCCCAGGCTGGCTTTGAACTGCTATCCTCAGATCTCAGCCTCCTGAGTAGCTAGGATTATAGGCATGAGCCACCCGCGCCTGGCTAGAATGTTCTTTTTGTAGATAATTTGTGTAGAATCAGTCTTCATGGTCCCATAACATGTCCAGATGTACTTTCAGGGAAGATTCTAATATACTATGCCTTTAAAAACTCATTACTAAATCTTGGAATTTATTTGACATAAAAGATGATTTTAAGGAAGTGGCGCTATGGCTCAAGTGGTAGAGCGCTTGCCTTGAGCTGAAGAGCTCAGGGACAGCGCCCAGGCCCAGAGTTCAAGCCCCATAGCCAACAAAAAACAAAAACAAAAAAGATGATTTTAAAATATTTATATAATTTACATAGAGATACTTGTTTATTAGGATCTCACAATTGTCAGTTAAGTGTAATTTTATTTAATTATTTCATTTGAGAAAAATAATTCCAAAAGTGAAAGAAAGGATTTTTATACAAAATCGTCTTTATATTTTAGAATGTACTACTCTTCATAATATGATAAAAGGGCTACAACAGACCATTGAATATCAACACAATTTGAAAGGTGAGCAAAAATATATAACAAAAGTGAATTTTTTTCAACTCCTTTAAGATAGAGTTATTAACATTGTTGACTACAGGTTCCTTTAACTTGTATTTGTTCTTACTTTCTAACTGATTATATAATTAGAAATGCTGTGCTAAACAGAACCATTTAGTCATAATCTGTCTGTCATGGACATCAGGAGATATTTCTTTTTTTTTTGGGGGGGGGGTTCAGTTGTGGGACCTGAACTCTGGGCCTGGGCGCTGTACCTCAGCTCTTCAGCTCAAGGCTAGCGCTCTACCACTTGAGCCACAGCACCACTTCCAGCTTTTTGCTTTTTGCTTATGTGGTGCTGAGGAATCGAACCCAGGGCCTCATGCATGCAAGGCAAGCGCTCTACCACTGAGCCACCTTCCCAGCCCCCATCAGGAGATATTTCATATGTCATGATAGTTCTTTCAGTTATTTCAAAAACATTTGAGATGTTTTCCAGTGGGGAATGGTTGTAACATCCCTGCAAATACTAGGTTTATGGAAACTCAAGTCTCACATAAAATGGCATACTATGTGCATCTAACCTATTCATATCATCCTTGCTACTTTATCAGAGAATTACTTATAATGCCTATATAAGAAGGCTGTACGTGTTTAATATAGACATATTTTTTATAATGTATATTTTGTTCAAGCCATGGGGCTTGAACTCAGGACCTGAGCATTGTCTTTGAGCTTCTCACTCAAGGTTAGTGCTCTACCATTTTGAGCTACTGCACCACTCTAGGTTTTCAGGTGGTTAATTGGAGATAAAAGGCTTTCTGCCTGACCTAGCGTTGAACCATGATTCTCAGATCGCAACCTCCTGAGTAGCTAGGATTACAGGTGTGAGCCATCCTCACTTTATATTTTTGGTTCACAAATGCAGGGGACCAACTGCACTTAATAATACAACACCGTGCTGAATACCTGTTTACATAAAAAATGAATTAAATTCATGACTAAACTATATTCATGACTAAAGAATATTACATGTATGCCCATTTTTATTTTTACACAGGAGAAAATGAACAACTAAAAAGAAATGCTGATCTTATGAAAGAAAAGTTAAAATCCCAGGAACAGGTAAGCTTATGCAGCATTTGCATTCATTCAAGTCCTTCCAGAGCATTTATTCTAATTAGAAAAAGAAAGATTAGGGCTGGGAAAGTGGCTCAGTGGTAGAGCGCTTGCCTTGCATGCATGAGGCCCTGGGTTCGATTCCTCAGCACCACATAAGCAAAAAGAAAAAAAGCTGAAGTGGCGCTGTGGCTCAAGTGGTAGAGCGCTAGCCTTGAACTGAAGAGCTGAGGGACAGAGCCCAGGCCCAGAATTCAGGCTCCACAACTGGACCAAAAAAAAAAAAAGAAAGAAAGATTATCTTTATTAATAACCACAGCCAAGATTTGTCTATGCAGACATATGTATTTGTACCTCTGTATATTCAGAAATCTTTAAAAACTGAATATTTGTTTTACTAATTGAGATCTTGGACTTTTTATAAAACAGAATGTATTAATGTATCATTTGTATTGCTGTGTCTACCAAGAAACAATACAGTTCTTTTGCTACATATTTTCAAATAGTGTTAATAGCATCTTTAGATACTCTGTTAAACATCACTTTTTAAACTTTTGATTATGAAACAAATTTAGCCTATTATTTTGTGATTAGGATAATCATTGCCCCATCATAAAGGGATTATTTTATGTGGATCCCAAATTAATTGTTACCAAGAGCCATGAAAATCTCTGCTACATTTTCTTATCTCCTTTAGTGAGAGTAATTACAGAATATATAACACAATACCAGAAAGCAAATGTGCCTAATAGAGACAGTGGATGTTGGAGAACTGTGACTGACAAGGTATTGGTCAAACAATACAAAATTGCAGTTGGGAATAAATTAGGCCTGTTGTATAATGTGGTGATCATAGTTAATAAAAAAATATATACTTGAAAATTGCTAATTATGAATTTTAATTGCTCTTACCATAAAAGGTATGTGAGAAAATCTGTATGTTAATTTTTTATCATTCCATCATGGATAAATACATTAAAATAAGTTGTCTACTATAAATATAGGTAATTTTTGTTAATTAAAATTAGCCAGCCAGGCACCAGTGGCTCATGCCTGTAATCCTAGCTACTCAACAGGCTGTGATCTGGGGATCATGGTTCAAAGAGACTCTTATCTCCAATAAACACCAGAAAACCGGAAGTGACACTGTGGTAAAGCGCTTACCTTGAGCTGAAGAGTGCAGGGACAGTGCCCAGGCCCAGAGTTCAAGCCCCACAACTGACAAAAAAATAAAATAGGCAGGTGCCACTGGCTCATGCCTGTAATCCTAGCTACTCTAAAGACTGAAATCTAAGGATCACAGTTCAAAGCCAGCCTGGGCAGGAAAATCCATAAGATTTTTATCTCCGATAAAACTACCAAAAAAGTCTGGGCACTGGTGGCTCATGCCTGTAATCCTAGCTGCTCAGGAGGTTGAGATCTGAAGATCACAGTTCAAAGTCCATCAGGGCAGGACAGTCCGTGAGATGCTTGTTTACAATAAACTACTCAGAAAAAGCCAGAAGTGAAGCTGTGTATCTAGTGGTAGAGTGCTAGCTAGCCTTTAGCAAAACAAGCTCAACATCAGCACCCACCTGGAAATGTGGCCTAGTGGTAGAGTGCTTGCCTAGCATACATGAAGCCCCGGGTTCTATTCATCAGTACCACATACACAGAAAAAGCCAAAAGTGGCACTATGACTCAAGTAGCAGAGCACTAGCCTTGAGCTGAAGAGCTTGGGAACAGTGCCCAGACCCAGAGTTCAAGCCCTATGACTGACAAAAAAAAAAAAGAAGAAGAAGAAGAAGAATAGCACTCAGGCGTGAGTTCAAGCCCCACGAGCTACACCAAAATAAAAAAGAGAGAATGGACATTTTATACATACAAAAAGCAGTTGCAGTTTCTCAAAGTTGATTATTCAAGCAATGTCAGAATTTTTCTCTCTAGATATTGTTAGAGTTTGAGAATCATGCCTCACATATGTGATCTCTGACGTAACAAAAAAAGTATTAGCTATGATCTCATATCAAAAATGAATACAAACTGAAATTTTTACCCCCCTAGTTAGTAAAATATTATGTATTCATGCTTAAATTTAAATGAATATATGCATCTATTAATCTCTAGGAATATAAGAACAGTATTACCAAACTTCTAAGTGAAATGAAAACCAAAGAAGAAGTACATAAGATAGAAATAAGCAAGCTTTATCAGGATTTACAAAAAAAAGGTGAGTTTTTTTAATTTACTGAATTCTAAGACATCACAAAACAATTTAAAGATGCAAGTATTTTTTCAATAATAGCCAGTATTCTTTTTAATAATATTATTTTATTTTTTGCCATTTTATTAACAAATATGAGTTTAATGAAGGATGTTTCCATTGTGATGTTTCCATATATGTATACAGCACACCTGGATATCAGATCACCATCTCAGCCAGGCATCAGTGGCACATGCCTATCATCCTACCTATTTGGAATGCTGAGATCTGAAAGATCATGGTTCAAGGCCAGCCTATGCAAAAAAAAATTATGAGACCCCTTGTCATCCAATAGGTAGACACACACTCCTGGCACTCTAGCTCATGGAAGGCTCAGATCAGAAAGTTCAAGCCAAGCAGTTCCAAGCCAGGCAGAAAGTCTACAGTACTCAATCTCAGCGCAAGAATCTGAGCATAGTAGTATGCTCCTAAAAACAGACAAATTGACATCCAGGCATGCACCTGGGGGAAAAAAGTTCACTCCTTCTTATCATATTCCCATATCATCCTTTCCTTATTCTTGAAACAGTTTCATCGGGTTTTATTCACATATGTGCATAGAGTGGACTTCAACCATATTCATCCCCTACACCCCTTCCTTTTACCTTCCCACTGGCACATCAATCCTCAAACAAAACCTGTTTTACATTCCTGTCATTCCGTTTTTGTGTGTGTGTTGGTACTGGCACTAGTGCTCACATCTGAGACTCTATTACTAGAGTCAGGTCTCTGATCTTGCTTTTTACTAGTTAATTGGGGGAAGGGTTAAGTCTGTTAGATTTATCCACAAGGCTGGCTCTGAATCCCAATCTTCAGATTTCAGCCTCTTGAGTGGCTAGGAAAAGAGGTATGAGCCACAAGTGCCCAGGACTGTTATTCATTTTTAAGGACTAGATTATTTTTTACGTTATTATTATAAGGACTAGATTATGCATATGAAAAAGAATGTAATCTTTGTCTTTTTAAAAAACAATTGTCTTGATGTATTTTAATTTAGTATATTTCATCTGTATCTTTCTAAATATTTGTATGATAAAAATACATTTCTAAATTTCTTTTATACTGTTTACACTTATATTATCTAATGTGAAGAGCTAGGCACATTTAAGAGGCTTAGATCAGGACAGTGGAAGTTCATAGCCAACTCAAGCATTCAAGACTCCTTCTCAACAGATAGTAGGTTATGGTAATGCACACTTGTTTTCCTAGAAATGTTAGAAACTGAACTCTGGAATATTGCAGTTCCAGGGCAACCTGGACAAAAAAGTCCACAAGACTATCTTAACATAAGAAGTTAGGCATAATGGTATGCATCTGTCAAACAAGCTATATCAAAAAGAAAAGAAAACAGGAGGATCATCAAACTAACTACTGCAATCACTATGCATATATATTACATGGCTTAGAAGTAAGAGTATCTACATAGCAAGCAAGCCCAAGTTCAAACCCCAGTGCTGCCAAGTGTGTGTGTGTGTGTGTGTGTGTGTGTGTGTGTGTGTGTGTGTGTGTAATGTAAAACTAAAAGAAAGTATAGTTAATAAATTTTATATTTATATTCTCAACATATTAAGTAGAATTTCAGTAATAAAATTTTCCTCAGTAAAGCAATCTCATGCATTTATGTTAAGGGTTAATTGCTTTGATATGGTTGTTTTAAATCTGCCTTAATGAATCCATCTTTATGCACATCATGTGAAAAAACTAACTTAAAACCAGGTATTTTTGCACATACCAGTAACCTTGCACTTGGAAGGCTGAAACAGAAGAGCATGAACTTGAAACACCTTGTATTACATAGCAAAATTCTGTCTCAAACAACTGAAAAAGAAAAAAATTAACTTGAAGTAAATGGTAAATCTAAATGTAAAACTGTTAGAAGAAGCTGGGCACTGGTGGCTTCTGCCAGTAATACTGGCCACTCAGAAAGCTAGATTTGAGGATTATGGTTCAAAGTCAGCCAGTCAGGAAAGTTCATGAGACTCTTATCTCTAATTAACCACTAAGAAGCCAGAAGTGGAGCTGTGGCTCAATTGGTAGAACACTAACCCTGAGCAAAAGAAGCTTAGAAACAGTGCTCAGGCCCTGAGTTCAAACCCCACACATGCACGCGTGCATACACACACACACACACACACACACACTTGCACACCTACTAGAAGAAAACATAAGAAATTATCATTGTGCCCTTGAGTTAGACATAATTTGTTGAAAATAAATAAAAGTACAAACAGTAAAGGGAAAAAATTCTAAATTTACCTTCAAAATTGTTAATTTCTCTTCTATATAACACTGCTAAGAAAATAAAGACAAGCCACGTGCTGGGAGAAATCACTTGCAAATTTGTGTCTGAACTCTAATAAGTCACTAAAAAGAATTTAGACAATTCAACAAGGAAATAACCAAAATATTTAAACAAACATTTGAATTACCCAAGAGATAAACAGTTGAAAAATAATCATGTAAAGAGAAAATGAGTGATTGAAGGGTTGAGATTCACCAGGATACATTGTATCCATGTGTGGAAATGCAACAATGAGATTTCACTTATTCACCTAGTTTATGCTATTAAAATTAAGTATAAAAATCATGTAAGAAGATTCTCAATATAATTAGTAGGAAAATGTACATTCAAGCCACAATGCAATGTCATCTTTCACTTTTTCAAACAGCTAGTATCTTTAAAACTATGAAAGTCAAGTATTGGTGCAGATGTAGAGCATCTAGAACTCTCGTGTATTATTGGTGAGATTGCATGGTGCAGACACTTCAAAAATAGTATGTCAGTTTCTCTTAAAAGTAAAGATGCAGTAAGATCATTTGGGTCCTCTGAAAAGCAGGTCTTTGCCAAGACAGGATTAGGTATCAAGAGATTGACTGAAGAAGGTACTTGTGAAAACAGATGGGAAAGGAATTGTATGTCTGGTGAACTGTCAGTCTAATACAGGTTTAACCTCTGTGAAGAAAAAAGAACCACTCTTGGGTAGGAAAAGTGTTCAGTATTAAAATGTGACACATTTTAAGAAAATTTCGGTGAAGTTGAGGTGAAGTTGCAACTCTTAGATACCAGCTTGTCTCATTATGCCTAACAAGCTCAGTCAAGAGCAGGTCTTTAAGAAACACTGCAACCACATCAACCTAGTCATGAAAACAGTAAGCCAATTATGCTTATTTAAGATGTAACCTAAAAGGTGTGTTTTTATGACCACAACAAATCCCCCACCTCACTGCACAGATTTACTTCTCTCCATGGGTTCAGATTGGAACTTTTCTATGATTTCTGTGGGCCCACATTTCCTGACAGTTTACCTGGAAGAGTTATTTAGTTCTCTCTCCCTGGAATCTAGCCTCATCTTCAGTGGATTCTACATCCAAAAATTGGTTAAAGTTTAGGAAATAAACAAAGCAGAATTTTTTTTAATTTTTATTTTTATTTTTTGTGAACATACTGTACAGAGGGGTTACAATTACATGGGCAAGATAATGTGTACATTTCTTATCAAGCATTGCAGCATCCTCCTTTGTTTACCCTTCACATCCCTTCCCAGCCTCCCCCCCACCCCCCCACCCAATCCTCCCCCCCCCACCCAATCCTCCCCCCCCCCCCACCCCGCACCAAAGTTGTAAAGTTCGTTTTCGACATGACAACTTGTACTTCTCATTGTTGCAACAGGTCCACCAGTATCCTTAAATGACTTGTTTTTCTCCATCTCCTCCACAAATTATACCCACATCAAATATAGTGAAAGCAGGGGTTATACTGTGGGGGAGGGACATACAAAGCAACAAAGAAATAATCTTATAAATGCGTTAGAAAAAATGCATGAAAGAAAAAAACATTAAAATACATATCTAAGGGTTTATTTTCCTAACATCACACTATCTGACCTTTTCTGCTTGACTCATACGTATACTAGATATTGCAAATAAGGGAAACCATAGGACCTATGTTTCTTTGGGTTTGGCTTACTTCACTTAATATAATTGTTTTTAAATTTTATTTTATTTTATTTGAGAACATACTGTACAGAGGGGTTACAATTACATGGGCAGGATAATGCATACATTTCTTACCAAGCATTGCCGCCTCCTCCTTTGTTTACCCTTCACCTCCCTTCCCAGCCTCCCCCCTCCCCCCCACCCAATCATACCCCCCTCCCCCCCACACACCGACATTGTAAAGCTTGCTTTTGACATGACATTTTGTACTTCTCATTGTTGCAACAGGTCCACCTGAATCCTTAAACGACTTGTTTGTCCCCATCTCCTCCACAAGTTATACTGACATCAAATATAGTGAAAGCGGGGGTTACACTGTGGGGGAGGGACATACAAAGCAACAAAGAAATAATCTTATAAATGCGTTAGAAACACATGCATGAGAGAAAAAAAAACATTAAAATACATAATTTTTTCCAAGCCTTTCCATTTCCTAACAAATGGGGCAATGTCATTCTTTCTGATGGAGGCATAGAATTCCATTGTGTATATATATACCACATTTTCTTGATCCATTCATCTACTGAGGGGCATCTGGGTTGGTTCCATATCTTAGTTATGGTAAATAATGCTGCAATAAACATAGTTGTGCTGGTAGCTTTAGTGTGGTCTTGTTTGTAAACATTTGGGTAAATGCCCAAAAGTGGGATTGCTGGGTCTTAGGGGAGCTCTATGTGAAGTCTTTTGAGGAACCTCCATACTGCTTTCCAAAGTGGTTGAACAAGTTTACACTCCCACCAACAATGAAGTAAGGTTCCCTTCTGTCCACATCCCCTCCAGCATCTATTGTTGTTAGAGTTCTTGATTTTTGCCATTCTAACTGGGGTGAGGTGGTATCTCAATGTTGTTTTGATTTGCATTTCTTTTATGGTTAGGGAGGTTGAGCATTTCTTCATGTGTCTATTGGCCATCCTTCTTTCTTCTTCAGAGAAGTTTCTCTTTAAGTCTTTAGCCCACTTATTTATTGGGCAGTTGTTTCTTTGAAGATTTGTTGTTGGGGGATTTAATTTTTTGAGTTCCAAGTATATTTTAGATATGAGACCCTTGTCCGTTGTAAGATCTCCTAATCCGTGGGCTTTCTATTGATCTTGCTAGCTATGTCCTTTGCCATGCAGAAGCTCTGTAACTTCATGCAATCCCATTTGTCCAACCTTTCTTTGATTTGTTGTGTTTCCGGGTCCCTATTAAGAAAATTTCGGCCTGAGCCAAGGAGACCTAGTGTTTCTCCTATTCCATCCTGTAATATTTTCAGAGTGTCTGCTTTGACTCCAAGGTCTTTGATCCATTTAGAGTTGATTCTGGTGCAGGGTGATATATAAAGATCTAGCTTTAGTTTTCTATAAGTAGTTAACCAATTTTGCCAGCACCATTTACTGAAGAGGCTGTCTTTCTTCCATTCTATTGTTTTAGCTCCCTTATCGAAGATTAGGTGGCTATAGGTCTGAAGGTTCGTTTCTGGGTTTTCAATTCTATTCCATTGGTCCTGAGGTCTGTTCTTATGCCAATACCAAGCTGTTTTGATTACTATGGCTTTATAGTAGAGTTTGAAATTTGGTATTGGTATTCCTCCAGCAGTGTTCTTTCCGTTGAGGAGCGTTTTTGCTAGTTGGGGTCTTTTATTGTTCCATATGAATTTTTGGATTGCCTCTTCTATTTCCTTGAAGAATGAGGGTGGAATTTTGATAGATATCGCGTTGAATTTGTAAATAGCCTTGGGAAGTATTGCCATTTTCACGATGTTAATCTTTCCAATCCAGGAGCATGGGAGGTTTTGCCATTTTTTAAGTTCTGTGTTGATTTCCTTTTTCAAGATTTTAAAGTTTTCCTCATAGAGGTCCTTCACTTCTTTGGTTAAGTTAATTCCTAGGTATTTTATTTTTTGTGGGGCTATTACAAATGGAGTTGCTTTCCTAATTTCAGCCACACTTTTCTCATTGTTGGCATATAGAAAAGCCATTGATTTTGGGGGGTTAATTTTATAACCTGCTACTTTGCCAACGTTTTGAATCAGCTTGAGTAATTTGGGAGTGGAGTCTATGGGATTCTTTAAATACAAGATCATGTCATCTGCAAAGAGGGAGAGTTTTATTTCTTCTTTTCCTATTTGGATCCCCTTTATGTCTGCATCTTGTCTTATTGCTGTAGGTAGGCATTGTAATACTAGATTGAAGAGAAGTGGAGAGAGTGGGCATCCTTGTCTTGTTCCTGAGTTAAGAGGAAATGGCTTTAGTTTTTCACCATTGAGTATAATGCTGGCTGTAGGTTTGTCATATACAGCCTTTATTGTATTGAGGAATGTTCCGTGGATTCCTAATTTTTCCAAAACCTTGATCATAAAGGGGTGTTGGATCTTGTCGAATGCTTTTTCTGCATCTATTAAGATAACCATGTGGTTCTTATTCTTGCTCCTGTTGATGTGATGAATAATATTAATTGATTTGCGTATATTGAACCAGCTTTGCATCCTTGAAATGAATCCTGTTTGATCGTGGTGTATGATTTTTTGGATGAATTGTTGAAGTCGATTGGCCAAAATTTTGTTGAGAAGTTTTGCATCAATGTTCATCAAAGAAATGAGTCTATAGTTCTCTTTCTTTGATGAGTCCCTGCCTGGTTTTGGGATGAGGGTTATGATGGCTTCATAGAATGTGTTCGGTAGTGAACTTTCTCTTTCAATTTCATTGAAGAGTTGGAGGAGTATTGGTGTGAGCTCTGCTTTGAAGGCCTTGTAGAATTCCGCTGTAAAACCATCTGGTCCTGGACTTTTCTTAGCTGGGAGGTCTCTTATTGCTGTTTCTATTTCAATGCTTGATATGGGCCTGTTAAGATGGTTTAACTCATCTTGGTTTAGTTTTGGCATGTCAATATTAAAAGCAGAATTTCTTACTTAGGGCACTGCTATAGTTTGACTATGGCTTATGGCCCTCAAAATCTACTGTGGCACTGTTGGGAGGTAGTGGAAACTTTGGGAATCAAGTAAGAGGTCCTTAAGTCATTGAATGTTTGTGTGTAACTGCTTGAATTACTGTGAGAGAATCTTTTATTTTTAGAAGCAAACCTTTCCTCACTCAACATCCTACTCTCTGCTTCTGTTCAAAATGTGACCGAGGGTAGGCATGATGGTATACATAGTTCATACCTGTATTCTCAGCTGCTCTGGAAGAAGAGACAGGATTATAGTCCAAGACCAGCCTACACAAAAGTTAGTGAGATGCAGTCTCAAAAACTATCTGAGCATGGTGGTACACATTTGTGGTCACTGCTACTTGACAGGTGAATGTAGAATGACTGTGGTCTGTTGCTAGCCCAAGCGGAGTTAGCATAAGAACCTATCTGATAAACAAACTAAAAGCAAAAGGACCAGTGGCATGGCTCAGTTGATAGGGCACGTGCCTAACAAGTGTGAAGCCCAGCCTTCATTCCCCAGTACCACAAAAATGTGACTGCTTGCTCCTACACATGTGCCACCACTTGCTGCCCTCATCAGAGGCCAAAGCAGTGGGACCAACCTGATCTTACACCTTAAGTCTCTGAAACTGTGATGTACATAAATCTTTTAGTTACTTAGTTGCCCTAATATTTCATTATATTAACTCAAAGCAGACCAGTAAGACACAAACTCTAAATCTCTATTAACTCAAAGCAGACTGGTAAGACACAAACTCTCAATCTCCTTCCTCCTCATTTTTCTTATTTTGTAGTAGATGTTAAGCAAAACAGGCAACTTATCTATCTCTGCAACTCTCAACAGAGTGAGTCCCTTTGGTTTCTCTCTGCTTTGCTAGTTATTATCTTGGCAATTGTGGCCTCCTAACTTTTGGTGGTTGTATGCCTTAATCATCCTTCTATTTCTCTGTAGTAGAAATGGTATTATCCCAGGGATACTAATGAGCTTAGCTTTTGACTAGTTTCATTGTCAACCCTTGCTTGCAGAGGAAAATGAACACTGAGCTTTTTGGTGACATTACCTTGCCTCTTACGGGCACATTTCTGTTGGCCTTGGTTAATAGTTTCCTTGTTGGTTTTCCTGAAGAAGGTTATCTCTGATGGAGTTTTCTGTTTCACATCATCTATCCATAAAAGTTTTCTGTAATCTCTGAATTCTTTTCTGTACTCTCTGCCAGAACAGTTTGAGCATTTCCATTTCTCCTAGCCTTGGTCATTGCTTTCTCTAGAGCTTTAAGGCCATACAAATAATTTGCTTCATTTTCTGCGAGTTTTTGTAGGGTAACATATGTCCTGCTCCTAAAGAGCAGTAGCTAGCATTGAAGGTATGAATCACCAATGCCCAGCTACCATATGAAGCAATTTTCAAAATGTATTTTATGAATGAAATTTACTTTCTTATGAATTTCTTAAAATACTTAAGAAATAAAAGCATGGTCTTGAAATTGTCAGTCAATGACTTTTTGTTTTATTCAGTTGAATTAAATGACGAAAAACACAAGGAACTAATGGAGAAAAAGGAAATGGAGATTTCAGAGTTAAATACAAAATTAATTGCTCAAGAAAATGAAAAACAAAATGAAATCATGAAACTACATGTAGAGGTAGGTTCTTAAAGAGTCAGCCAAACTTGAGGACATTTTCATTAGTCTAAACTATGCTTTCATAATTTTGAATTGCAGTGAGACACATTTCAGGACTAGAAATGATCCTGTGGGAGGGCTGCATGGGTACCCATCCTTCAACCAGGGCTGAAATTCTTCAGTAAGGGCTCAGTCACCACACAGCTTTTGGATCCACTGCCTTGAGTGGTTACACTGCACTTGACATATAGGTAGAACCCTGTGGAAAGTTCCCCAAACAACTCAGGAAATTGCCTGCATTTTATAATCAAATATATTTCAATTCCATCAACCACCTTTCCAGCCTGGGGAGTTCATTTCTAATCTTCATCTCTTCAGTGTTGTTCTTTCTCTAGCAGAAATTGTGGAGCTTTTAGTAAACCAACTATTTGGCATTAAAAAATGACAAATACCTAACTAATAAATTTCTGTGAGCCGAGCACCGGTGGCTCATGTCTGCAATCCTAGCTACTCAAGAAGCTGAGATCTGAGGATCTCGGGTCAAAGCCAGCTCGGGCAGGGAAGTCCGTGAAACTCTTACCTCCAATAAACCACTAGAAAACCAGAAGTGGCGCCGTAGCTCAAGTGGTAGAGTGCTTGCCTTGAGCTGAAGAGCTGAGGAATAGCTCTCAGGCCCAGAGTTCAAGCCCCACAGCCAAAAAAGTAAATAAATAAATAAATTTCTATGAAACTATATATTGTAAGTACAAATAAAGCAAATTTCTTGAGGAAAAATTTATAGGATTACAAATAAAGCATCTTCTAAGCAGAGGATCCAGCACTTTGTTCCTCAGGTAATTCTAACATGCAGCTAAAAGTTCTTTTTTCTTTCTTCAAAATTGTTTCATGGGGAAGTGGTGCTGTGGCTTAAGTGGTAGAGCACTTGCCTTGAGCTGATAGAGCTGAGGGACAGCACCCAGGCCCAGAGTTCAAGCCCCATGACCAACCAAAAAAAAAAAAACTTGAGGGCTGGGAAAGTGGCTCAGTGGTAGAGTGTCTGGCTCAAATTCATACGCCCTGGGTTCAATTCCTCAGCACCATATAAACATATAAACCATATAAAGCCAGAAGTGGCGCTGCAGCTCAAGTGGTAGAGCACTTGCCTTGAGTTGAAGAGCTCAGGGACAGCGTCCAGGCCCTGACTTCAAGCCCCAGGACTGGCAAAAAAAAAAAAATTGTTTCTTAAAGGTTTTTTTGAATTACAAAGTCTGTGTCAAAGGGTCAAAGGATATCCTTGATTATGCTTATAAGAAACAATTGGGCACTGGTGACCCATGCAACTCAAGAGACTGAGATCTAAGGATCACAGTTCAAAGCCAGACAAGAAAGTCCATGAGAGTCTTACCTCCAGTTAACCACCAGAAAACTGGAAGTGAAGCTGTGGCACAAAGTGCTAGAGCATTAGCTTTGAGCAAAAGAGTTCAGGCATAGCGCCAGGCCCTGAATTCAAGCCAGAGAGGAAAAAAAAGCAAGCAAGCACGAAAGAAAGAAAGAAAGCAAGGAAGGAAAGAAGAAAGAAGAAAGGGAGGGAGGGAGGAAGGAAGGAAGGGAGGGAGGGAGGGAAGGGAAGGGAAGGGAAGGGAAGGGAAGGGAAGGGAAGGGAAGGGAAGGGAAGGGAAAGGAAGGGAAGGGAAGGGAAGACTATACAGTATCATTACAGTAAAAAATATATAAAAAAGATAAAAGAGAGAGAGAGACAATTGTTACCAGTTATAGAACTAGAACATTCTCAATAACTTTCTTTTTAAATTTGTTCAGTTTGATGCCAAACTAGCCAGAGTTCAAAACAAATCAAAATCATATGCAGATGCTGCTGTTTTGCCACAGAGTATCTACAGAAGGGTATGTGAGTTTTCTCATGATTATATCTTAAGAAATTAATTTCCTTACTGCTTCCACTAAAATTATCTAGTAACATATTTAATTATGCTATTTGTCCCCTTCAAATTACATAAAATTTGTTATAACCTTTCAAAATAAGGGGTTTTTTAATGTTAGCTTAAACTGTATTTGTATCTTTGTCATTCCTTATGCCTAATTTCATTATTTATGAGTTGTATTAACATTTTTTTTCTGCTTCATTTAGAAGCTTCAGCATCTTCAAGAAGAGAAAAATAAGGAAATTGCTATTCTTCGTAATACCATTCGAGATTTAGAGCAACGCCTTTCTGCTGGCAAAAATTTTAACTTTAAGCATAAACGTTTTTGAGCACCGTGGTAAATTTGTTAGTATTTTAAGCAATTAAGAAATTCACTTCTCTTTTCAATATAAATACCCTGCCTAGATAATGAAAAAAGACAGATGTAAGCTTTTTATTGAATTTATTTAGACAAATCCATCCTACATGCAGTTGTATGCTACATTCTTGCTTGACAGTATTACCATAAGGAGTTCAAGTTTACAAGGCTTAGTTTCCCTATTAAACCATCAATGACTATGGAAATACTGTTAAGCCTTCACTAGACAACATACTTTTCTTTCTTGTTACATCTTTCAAGACAGCATTCAAAATTTAGAAGAGAGATACAGTGTTCAAGAAAACAAGATACAAAGAGTTTATGACAGTGAAATTTAAGCTATGAGTCACAGATATAAAAAAGACAAATAGATGTTATAAAATGTAGTCATATACACTTTTCCTGCAAAGTATTCATGTATTAATTTTTTGGATCTTAAGCAGAATCCACTTCATTGAAGGTTTAATCAGCTAAAATGGTAAGATTTAAAAGATAAAGATAATATATTTTTGAGAAATAAGTAAAGAAAAAAATGGAGAACATGTCTTTGTTGTTCTTCCTCCATTCTGATTTGCTAACTATCCAACAGAAACCCCTAGGTTATAGTTTACGTTTCTGTTCTCATCAATACAAATAGAATGCTGGAAGAAGAAAAAGAAAGACATATTAACCAAAAACTGCAATCACTTTTCAGTTGTCCTATAAAAAATTTGGTTGGGATAAAATTTCTGTGGTATTAAATTTAGAAGCCAATCCAACAGATTTCTTCACGTTTGTGCATGATTTTTTTAGTTGCCTGGTAAAAATTTTGCCTAGACTGAGCTGAGAAGTACATCTGATTTAACATATTTAGTTTGAATGTCATTTTCATTTTTTTGCCATATTATTTCAGCTTCATTTGGGGCTGACTGTGGGCTTGAGCTGCTGACTTGCTTGTCAGGCAGCTGGAGGTGATCGTCACTGTCAAGATTCAATGACTCTCTCCTCCTCAAAAAGTCCCTGTCAGCTGCATAAAGATGGAAGGTTTTCTGCACACTGTCAGGTGACCGCAGACCCTGTTTTCTCAAATATCAGATGTCGGCAATGGCAGCAACAGCTACTGAGAGCTAACTCTGAATCCTTGGACAACTTACACAGTAATTTGTTTACACATCCCTTCCGGCACAGCTTCCTTTGTGCAAGTGAAAGTTTTAAACCTTCACTTCCTGGCAAATCTCAGCTATCCAAGTGACCCTCCCGTTCCTTATGCTGGCCTTTGTGGTGATGGTGGTGGTGGGGGTGGTGGAGGCCTAGAGGAGGGGAAGGCAGAGAAGCATCTGGTGCCCCTGGTTGCTGACTCTCTGTTTGCTCACTGCCCCCAAGAGTCTGATGCCCATGCTTGTGATGATGCGAATGGTGGTGATGTGGCTCTGGAGCTTGTGCTGTTCTGCCCACAGTAGCTAAGGACACATTTTTACAGAACTCTTCATCTTCCAGACTCTGAAATAGATTTGGTAATCACATGTCAGTACCCTTATAAACAACACAATGAAAGTTATTGGTACAGATGATATATACAGAATTCCAACTAATGAATCGGATAGAGCTAGTTTTATTTTCTGACACAAAATAGTTTCCCTCTGATAACTCAAAAAAAAGCCAGTAGGGCTGGGAAGGTGGCTCAGTGGTAGAGCACTTGCCTTGCATGCTCAAGGCCCTGGGTTTGATTCCTCAGCACCACATAAGCAAAAAGAAAAAAGCCGGAAGTGGCATTGTGGCTCAAATGGTAGAGCGCTAGCCTTGAGCTGAAGAGCTGAGGGACAGCGCCTAGGCCCAGAGTTCAGGCCCCACGACCGGACCCCCCCCCAAAAAAAAAAGCCAGTAAACTGTGCTCAAAATTGGTAGCTCTTCGGGTCTGGGAAGGTGGCTCAGTGGTAGAGTGCTTGCCTTGCTTGCATGAGGCCCTGGATTTGATTCCACAGCACCACATAAGCAAAAAGAAAAAAGCTGGAAGTGGCGCTGTGACTCAAGTGGTAGAGCCCTAGCCTTGAGCTGAAGAGCTGAGGGACAGCGCCCAGGCCCAGAGTTCAGGCCCCACAACCGGACCCAAAAAAAACAAACAAACAAACAAAATTGGTAGCTCTTCATACTTAAACATATGCTACAAAATGTCTTTCAACTTGTCTAGAGCTTTGCTAATTTTTCTAATAAGATTCTGCCAGGTGAGAATGCAAACTGACCCCACTGATCATGATCGTCCATTCTACGTGGTTCTTTAATTTACTGAACGTTGTCTTGGTTTTGTAGTACTCACAAACACAGACACTAACAACATAATATCAAATTTCAGTGTTGATTTGTAAATAAAATCCATGTCAGAATCAAAGACCCACAATATAGTGTGACAGTATTTGGAAGGCTTTGACAAGTCACAGATTCCACTGGATTTTTAGCATACAATTACTAATCGGTTCATTTTCTGGTTATTTCTGAATTACTACTAAGTTAGAGCTTCATAGTTTATTATAAACCAATACAAAAAACAAGTGTCACACAAACAGCTGTAGGATTAATTTAAATTTACAAAATATTACCGAATTTCACTGATTCTGTGGTGCATTTTTTCACATTTTATTGTTCCTAAAATTAGAGTTCATCCTATTACTGTGGTGTTTCAGCATTGCATTCTACTTTAGTTGGTAGCATTTTTTTTTTCTTAGTAAATCAAATAACCTGCCCTTGCTGATGACATATCAGCTGTAGATAGCATATTATCCTTCCTCACAGGCCAGCATATTCTTCCTTAACGGTAGTTTGTTTTCTTAACCTATTATGAGAATTGTTCCTACTTTTAAAAAATATAAGTAGGTACAGTTAAAACTATTGGGCAGTTTCACTAATACAAAATACAAAAATAATTCTATAAGAAGTCAATATAGGGAAAAAGTCAGATAATGTGATGTTAGGAAAACGAACCCTCAAATATGTATTTTAATGTTTTTGTTTCTTTCATGCATGTGTTTCTAACGCATTTATAAGATTATTTCTTTGTTGCTTTGTATGTCCCTCCCCCACAGTGTAACCCCCGCTTTCACTATATTTGATGTCAGTATAACATGTGGAGGAGACGGGGACAAACAAGTCGTTTAAGGATTCAGGTGGACCTGTTGCAACAATGAGAAGTACAAAATGTCATGTCAAAACCAGCTTTACAATGTCGGTGTGTGGGGGGGAGGGGGGTATGATTGGGTGGGGGGGGAGGGGGGAGGCTGGGAAGGGAGGTGAAGGGTAAACAAAGGAGGAGGCTGCAATGCTTGGTAAGAAATGTATGCATTATGCTGCCCATGTAATTGTAACCCCTCTGTACAGTATGTTCTCAAATAAAATAAAATTAAATTAAAAAAAAAAAGAAGTCAATATAGATGCTATCTACTAAGTAATTGGTATAGACCAGACATGAAGCTTGTACTTTATTTTTGCTACTTCAGTCTGCATGTCTTGAAGATTTAAACATAAAAATGCAAAAACAATTAACTTTAATTTATCAACTAAATCCATTAAGCGATTTGTTATTATTTGAGATGCCTTTCTTTGAGCTGGAGAAAACTTTGTGAAAACACAGTCCATAAATAAAGGTCAAAGTTATTCTTAAATCTAAGTTTGAATCTTGCCAATGTACCCCATAAAGGGAACATGGTTTAGAATTATTTTCTTTTTAGTGTGAGGAAAAATAAGTCTAGTTGATAGAAATTAAAATCAATTCTGTCTTTTCATGAAAAACATTTACATACAACAATTCTCAAGGCATATTCTCATAGTTATTAGGAAAGATAATAATGAGTAGGAAATGTTCTGCTTTCAAGTCAAAACAATAACTGACGTTGCTGAATGAGAAGGCCTTCACAAAAAAGCTGGTTGTCTTACGTCCTTGATCGATTAGATAGTATCAGACCTCAGTACCCTCACAAGTTTCATGGGAGGTAAGCTTTGCTATTACTGTCAACATGTTCACAGTACTGCAATAATAACATTTTATGTGTTGACTAAATCCTTTGAGCATTTGTACTCGTAATATTATTTTGTGGTTATTAAAATATGCAAGCTATATTGATTTTGGTTTCTGAAATCTTACATAAAAGCATCTATGTGGATTTTGAAAATAAGTTTTTAAATGTGTATTACATAACAAAAAAGTATCATTACAAAAGCTCGCTTATTTTCCATTCACCAACAAAAACACTGCTTATCTAATGGATCATACAATACCAACTTATATAGATAGCTCTTAAAAATTCCCTCTTTCTCCCAGTAAAAATAATTCAGAAAAATACCCGGAGTGAGCAGTTTCCACATTTATCTTCACAGTAAGCAATCTTAATGGCTTCTTCTACATATGGGAAGGTTAGGAAGGAATAAGGCAAACCAAGATGGTATACAAGATGGCCACATCTACATAAAAAATAAAAAGAACAACAAATCATTGTTATTACAATATTTTCTGCTTAATGATTCTACCCAAACCAGATGGGTATATGTATTACAGGTTTAAAAGTCTTAGAACTAAGATCCCTCCACATCTTCTGTATATCTCCTTGAGTAGGGTCTACAAATGAACAACCAGGGACTGTAGGCCATTTTAGGTCATAGCAAGAGGGCAATGTCTAATATTTACAGTTCAAAGTGTTACAGAGATGTCACTGAAAAATGTTTATGCAATGTAGTCACTGTCACTAGTCAAATACAATTTTGTAACTGACCTATATACTCTACCAAAGTCCAATCATTGACTTAAAAATTGGGTTCTGAAAACATATATGAATTTTTTATAACTGCTGCAGCAACCAGTTTCCACAGAATGAGAGATTACTGCATAACAAAAACATCCCAACCTTTGCTCAGTATTTACTTCATTGTTCATTTATTATGTGATACTTGCCTTGCACGCAAGGCAGGTTCTCTACCACAAAACTGTTCCCTCCCCAGTGAGATAGGATCTCACTGTAATTCTACTTTGAACTCAGTCTGTAGTCTAGGCTGCCCTCAAACTTAAGATCCTGCTGCATCAGATTCCCAAGAGCTGAGATTACAAATGTATTCTGTCAAACTTTACTCAGTAACCCATTTATTGAAAAGTATATCTAATATAGCAAAGGCCTCAGTGCAACAAAATGAGGACATTTAGCATTCTCAGAAAGGGGTTCAAATGTCCTCCTTGCCCAGTTTTTACCAGTATATACAGCTTTATGTGAATGTCAAAGTATTGTACTAAATGACTAAGGTAGAAGTTTAGAGGCCTAAAAAAATGAACCGCAATATTAAAAAGTTATTTGAATAAGACCAAGTAGTGATAAAGCTCAGGTCAACTCCCTTTCACCAAACTCAGAAGATCCAAGAGAAATCAGACTCCACCAAGACTGTTTTCATAAGACAGTGTATGCTTTGAGGTTCAACTGAAATGTGTTTCATGGAACCAAAAGAAGATTTCTGCAGATCATACTTAAGTGATTAACACACTTTGCAATCGGAAATGCA